TTCCCAGAGTCAACATTCATGTCAGTTTTCTCTAGAAAATCCCACTAAATATCTAAGAAAGGTTTACTTTCCAATTTCACATTAGACTTTTATTTTATTTAATTTATTATTTAATTTTTGGTCCAAAGACAGCAAGTTCCTTAACATGAAGATGTGATACAATAAACTTAATTATCTATGTTTTGCTGTGCCCAGATAGAAATGAATGCCTGCTTAGATCTCAAATTTCACATAAATAGATATTCATGAACTGTGCAAAAAGGAAGACTCTTCTGAAATAAAAGGTTTGCTCACTTATAGGGTTCAAAGGTATAGGCCACTGTGCCATTTCTCCATTTCTAACACTTCCAGTGCACTTTAAGTGTAGTGGATGCATAATACCTATAGCTTGAACAAAGTATTAAGTTAATTTTAGGCCTGTTAGGGATTTCAGTAGTGCTCTAGTCTATTAGTGTAATTTTACAGAGGATGAAATTGAGACCACAAAATTTTAACATTCTATGATTATATATCTATATTTTGTATACAGCAAGGACTATAACTCAGGATCCTTAATTCCCAGTGAACACTTTCTTCACCTAATAAAAAAAAGTAGCATTTATTAAGCACTTACTATAAACAAGGCGCTTTGTGTACATGATGTCAAATCTTTGGGGAAAAAATAAACCTACAAAAGATATACTATCCCCATATTTTACATGAGCAGACTGAGGCTCAAAGAATTTAAGTGTCTTGCTTAAGGCACTGTGCTGGTAAGCAGGACAGCTAAGATTCAGACTCAAATCTGTTTGTTTCCAAACCCACTGCCATCCATGCCACACCATATTAGCACACATTAATAACACAAAATACCAATCAAAGTAGGAATTATGTGGGCTTACTAAACAAAGCTAAAATATGTTATCATTTTACTTAAAAGAAAGAAGGTCAGGTTAAAAAAAAAACTGTATCAAAATGTGTAACCAAATCAAGGTTCCACAGCCAACCTCTCTATAAGATCAGATTTGTCATTAAGTTAGAAGAGGAATCTATTCCTGAAGAACAACAGAGCTGAAAACTGAATGACCGCAGGTTACCTTTCTCTCACTGAATCACCAGGTGCAGATTCCTCACCTCACTAAAGATGAAGAGGTGGGTGGAAAAGAGAACAACCAAAGCACTACTTAAGGTAAAGAGTGCAATGTGACAGGCGCATGTTGAAGCTTTTGCTTTCTACAAGGAGATGGAGCTTCCAGCTAAGAGTATGCCCTCCTCCACCATCATCACAAATCAACTCAAGATAGGATTATTTAAAATTCAGATTCCAAAAGGTCTGAGTTTTTCTTTCCTACTTTAAGGACTGTAGGACAAGCCATGATTTGGAGTCAGATCATTCTGAGTGCCAGTCTCTGCTTTGCCACTGACATCCTGTATGTATTTGGCAATTCATTTAGCCTTCCAGAACCTCAGTTTTCCCCTCTATGTAATGGCAATTATAATACCTACTCACAACATTTTTGTGAAAACTGAGTGAATGTAAGGCATCTCCCAGAATACCTGGCCCAAGTGGAGACTCAATTTATTCACTAAGGTTGGAGAATAAATGTCAAGTCCCAGAACAACTAAAGGCAAAACAGGAAATGGAAATCAACCAGACCTTCATGCTTTATCAGAAACACAGCACTAAAGATATCATAATGGCAAAATATAAATCAAGTAAAGCCCCTGTTAATAAAGCTTATAGTACTATTGCCAGTGAGAAAGGGGCAGAGTTGTGAATTGAAATATTCAAATTAACTTTAGCATAAAAATATGATAAAGAGATATTAACACTTGTCACCTACCTACTATCTACCAAGGATTTTATAAGGATTGATGAGTGCAGCACTTTGAAATTCCTTAGAAATAAGGAATAAATAGATATGCCATTATGCATACATATAAAGGCAAATATATATTTTAACACTCTGAGGATTACTACATAAATTTAGATCAGGGCACAGCATGCCTGGGATGAGTAGGGTAGGAACAATATGTTCTTGCTTATGACACCAAGCTCATGACAAATGATTCATACCCAGCACCTTTCATGCCAGAAGATCCCCCCAGGTATTCTACCAACTCTAGCAACAGTTTCCATCAAGCGAGACTGCAGCATACAAGAATCACTTCACACCCACAGATGAGGCAAAACAGTCATGTCTTTATACAGCCGTACAAGTCCAACAGTTGAGGGGGCAGGAAAGAGAAGGAAAAGAGCCGAGTGAACCATCCAGAAGTCCTCATCAGTTTGACAGGCAGCCTATAATTACCATATATTTGCACCTTGAGTGCAGGTGTTATTGTAATCAGAGGCTCTTCTTAGCAAAGGCTGTTAGCTAAAGGTGAGACAGGTTGGGAGGATCTGTCTTGCCTATGGCCCTGAATGGGTGGGAGGGCATATCTGTAGGGGAGGGCATCTTGATATGAAAATATGAGAGCCCCCGATCCTGTCCTGAAGTTTAGGTTAGTGCATTTCCTGCGCTGGAGGAAGGTGAAGTATTATGAGAGCTGCAAATAGGTACACAGGACTTTACAGTCACACTTCCCTCTTATGTGTATCCTGGTCTGTAATTCTCTGTAATTAATATGACAGGCATCGCCCCTACTTTAGAGAGGACGGACGAAATCCACATTCAGGACATTCAGGAGCAATCAACGTGACTCGGTCAAATCGCACAAAAGCAGAACTAGAATTCAGGTCTCTACTCTGCTTTCCCATTGCACAAAACTGCCAAAAAAAAAAAAAGTTTCTTTCTGCCTTCTTTCCCTTTAAAAAACATTTTAAACTTTGTCCTGAGTCTGGTCCAGATAAGTAAGACTGGCTTTGTTTGGGAGGATCTGGATAATGACTATTTCTCTTCCTCTACTATCTGTACCTACACATTAAACAAATTATTTAAAGTGATGAACAGGACAGAAAAGGGGAGGAGGGGTCTTTTGGGGATAACAGACTTCAGAGGGCAGAAATCCCATCTCATTGATTAACATAATTTGAGTAATCATAATTTTAACACTCACCACTTTATTTCCTGCATAATCTCAGACCTACTTGCATGTCCTAAGCCCCGACCCTATTAAGCCTTACTGGACTTATAAGCACCATATATTTTATTTTTTAAAAGGCTAGAAGTGCTTGGCACCACTTCTTAAATGGAAATTAAAATTTGCCAAAGATGTACTCTCTTTTTCTGTCTCTTTCCAAGATCTTTCAAGAGATGGACTAAAAAAAGAGGTCTAATGGGTGAGTGATATTTTACAGCTTGAATTACATTAAAAGCCAGAAATATTTTGAGTCCAAGGTCTTTTACTTCTCAATACAACAAGATCTACCATGTTCATTCATTGTGTTTAAAATTTTCGCTTAAAGCCAGAAGCTTTGAGTTAATCACTTAGAGCAGTGTGAAAGTTATTCAATCAGTTTAAGGAGATTCAAGTTCAAATTAGAGGATTAATTTTAGTGGGTATGATATGATAGATATAACAGCTAAGGTAGGAAATGAGGGCAAGGGTCTCCAGAACTTGAATGGAAAGAATTTCGGCTTCAATTATTTGATTAAACCACTCCTGAGAAACATAAAATCACAGCCTCTGTCATGAAGGCTGAATTGTAGGGAAAATCCTGCTGGTACTCTCAGGACAGAGATATCAGTACAAAATATTATCTACCATGCTTTGCCTTAATACAATTTATATCTATGTATCCAAGGAATTCACAATGACAGACTATTATTTCAAAATGTTCACAGCTCTCATTAAAAAGCTGACAGTGAGCACGACTTCCTAAAGTGGTACTTCTCTGGGAAGGTTTCTGGCAATTACATCACAACAAAAACATTTTGAAAGGCACCAGCCTGCATAGACTGTGCATATTACAAATACTTCAATTTCAATTACCTGATTAAAGCTGCATCTTGGATCCTCACACCCCCCCCCATTTTACCCATCCTTGGTTTTTATGTTCTTCATGTCTGCTGCCAAGAGAAGTTTCCACACTTTTAAACCATCTTCAGCTGTTACCATCAAAGCTAGTTCTTTACTATTTCAGCTCATTGAAGTTTCCAGGTTCAATATAGCTCCCTCAGATTCAAATATCTAAAACCCTCCCTGATATGACCAAAGCTCACAGACTCGCATCCTAAGTCCCCTGAAATCCAGCCTCCTGGAATCAAGCAATCTCTTCCCTGCCTTCATAAAGGGAATGTTAAGTCTTTATTTGTGCTCTTCACTGGAGGAGGTCAGGCAATGAGGGAGAACAGGGAGTTGTTGTCACTGGGATATATCTGATCTTCCTAAAACTGATCACGCCGGAGAACAACCGCTCATTCACAGGCTGGAAAGCCCCAGTTCTCAAAACACGCTCGCTAGCGCTGTTAGAAGATGCGGGAGAGTTCCTGCCCTAAAACTCGCATCCATTTGGTCCCTAAAAACAGAATGAACTAAAGAACACCTTATCCTTCACTGCAGTCTCCTCCCTCTTGGGGAAGAAGGGGTTAGGAGCTCTGCATACAAATAAAATAAAAGGCCTACATATATGTCTTCTTGATCATACTTGAGCTAGTCCATAGGTCTAGCAAGTAAAGGGAAAGTCACTTGAGGGAATGTCAGCCTGCCTGGAAATTTAACCCTTTCATCTCTGCATTCCTACTTTCACCCACGCTTCTGTTTGTCTGGTCTTCAGTTCCACACACGGTTGTCAGATGTCACCAAAGCAGCAGGGATACAGGTATTTGCCTGCTCAGTTTAAAGCTTTGGCCTTTGGAGAGGACTCTGATGGTGTTGGTAGGGGGAGAGAGGGTAGACTGGTCTCCTAGTAGGTAATATTAACTCCTGAGGGAAGTGGGCAGTGAAGACTTCAGTTTGCAGCATCTCCCAAGTCCAAGCCAGGAAACCCCATTTCCCCAAATTTTCTGTCAGATCACACAGCCGACTTTAACCCTTTCCATCTCTTATCCCTTTGCCCTCAGTCCCATTCTACTCACGCTGCTGTTGTGGCCGGACCAGTGGACCATGGCTTGGTTGTGTGCTGAATCGCCTGTCAGCGCAAACGTGGTGCTGGTCAGTCTCAGCTCCTCCATCCGGAAGCGGGTGGCTTTGTCCGGGTCCCGCTCCCGAGTCCCAGGCTCCTGCTGCCCTCCGTCCCTTAGCACTCCCCGGGGGCTCCTACTTGCGCCCTCTTTCCGTTCTGCTTTCTCCAGGTCCTCTTCGCTCCGTCTCCTCCGGCCAGAGCGCGCTGCAACCGCCACGGACGCCCCAGTGCCCCGGGCCCGCTCCAGGGACAGCACTCGGTCCCCGGGGGCCACCGTGAACAGGGGACGCACTAGGAGGGGCAGGGGCGTGGCAGGAGCCCTGCCTGGCAGCCCCGGACGAGAAAAGCCCCCAGAGGTCGGTGCCCAGCGTGAGGTCGAGCTGGAGTGCGGCGGGGGGCAGCAAGAGCCGCTGCCGCAGGCGCCGGGGGCGCAGAGAACCAAGAGCCCCGCGCCGGCGAGGAGCGCGCTCAGCCGGGCCGGGAAGCCGCGGCCGGCGCCAACTTTTCCCATGGCGGGAGCGGAGAGGCGCCCAGACGGGGTCCCAGAGCGAAGGTGGCGGCGCGGGGCTCTCCGCGGGCGGGCTGCGGGGCGCAGGCGCTCAGGACCCCAACTCCATGCAAGTTGGGCCGCGGTCGGGCGGGAGGCGGCGCCGGGCAGGTAGCGGCCGCTCGCCCGGGCTGGGCTTGTGCCGAGCGCGGGTCCGGACGGAGCGAGCCGCCGCCACGCGGGGGTGGAGCCGAACTGAAGTCGCAGGCGGAGCGGGGCTGGCGCGCTGGCGGGCGACGCGGGAGGGAGGGCGCGCGCTGCCGGGGCTCGGGGCGCCGCGTCCCGCTGCCGAGCTGCCTGCGCACCGGGCTGCGGGCGCCGTGCGCCCCGCGCGACCCCCCCGCGGCCTCGCGGGCGCTGCCGCCGCCCTCGCGCCGCCCGCCCTGCGCCCCCGCGGGTCCCTGCGAGGAGTCCGCGCACCCTGCCCGCGGGGGCGGCCACCCCGGGCTCCAGCAGCGGTGGCTCTGTAGGAAGCTTCCTATTCCTGCCTGGTCGGCTCCGTCGGTCTCTGTTGCTGTTTTCTTTTTTCTCTTTCTGGTCTTTGCCAGTTTAGGAGATGGGGATGAGTGGGCTCCTGCTGTTTGCCTCTCTCATTCGCGGCGAGTTGGCGACTTGACCTTACCCTGAGCAGAGCGCGTGTGCCCCCGCCTGAGGGAGATCCCAGAAAGGCAGCAGCAGAGAGTGATGTAATTAAGTGATCGTGTGTGAGTGTGTGTGTGCGCCTGTAGTTTGGGGGGGATTTTTCCCATCAATGAGAACGCTTAGATTCATTTCCTGACCTCCTAAAGCAATGCTTGTATTTGAACCCAACCTTCCTGCAGGCAATCATGTTTAAGAGAACATTTTCCTAAATGTAATGTTCCCAGAAGTGTGTGTGTGTGTGTGTGTGTGTGTGTGTGTGTGTGTGTGTGTGTGTGTGTATCTTGGCTTCCCTAAGAGCCCAGCCTCATTGAGGACAGGAAGATCAAATTGTGACCAACTTGGAAGAAGTGATCTATTTATTTTGTTTGCCATTTTATCTTCAGTGTTTAGCACGGTACCCTCCCTACACAGAAGGAAATTTGTCAGTCATTAACTCAATAAATATTTGCTGTGAGTCTATTATACATCTGCATATCAAATAAATGCAGAACAGGAGGCACAGTACTATATTTATCCTATGTTATTTGGTGCCTAGCCCAGTGCTACTTACTAGCACGTGCTTTGAGGTCCCTGTTAACAAGTCTGCGCCGGATGCTTTGCCACCGGTTTACTTTGGGACCTCAGACAAGTCACAATTTCTCAGCTTCCTACACTTTAAAATTGAATGGTCACATTAGATGACCTTTAAAATCCCTTCCACTCCTAAAATTCTATAATGGTATGCTTATACTATCTGCCCAGCCCCTGCTACTGTTCATAAGTTCAGGTGAAGATTTATAGCAGGTGAATGGGCTTTCAAAATTACAAAGAATTTCTCAAAATCCAAACCTTTTTCATATAGACAATTTGCTAAGGATTGAAATGCCTTCAAATTTCTTTACAGTCTTCATGTACCTAATAACATTCTCTTATGTACTTGATAATTGTTAAATTATTCCATAACTATTTACTGATTTACTAAATGAATTACACAACAAAATAGTACTAATTCCAGTTTTTAATTACTTTTTTTATTTTCACACACAGAATGGTGACAACCTCACTGAAAAATTTGAATTCTGAGTTTGTGACAAGGCCAACTTGAAAGTAGCACAGAGGGATAATTACTCTTCAATCAGTGAAACCCTTTCAAATGCTGTCCAAGAAGACTTCTATCAATCCAATCCAGAGAGGTATTATAAAAAGATTGTTCTAAATTATCGTTCTTATGACCAATGCAGACAAAGTGTAAATGCAAAAAGGAAAGTCTTCTCAATCATTAAACTTGAGTACCTAAAAGGACAAGGATGTCCTGTTTGTCATTGAAGGAGAGAGACAGGCTCTTCTTCCAAAAGCACCTTTACTACCCAAACCCGGATCCTCCTAAAACAGAAACACTGTCTGGCAGGGTATGGCCTCTAGATGGAGGAGAAGAGAGCCAGAGATCCACTCTCCTCCCTAAATTGCAAGTGCTCTTTGACAAAACCCAGGGCAGTCATTTTCTTCTCCTCAGAAGGGTTTTTTAGAGCTTTGCAGGATCATTTGCTTAATGACTTCTTTCTATGCCCTGCTAACCTCTTTCCAGTCTGGATAAGTGTGTGGGAATTCCTCCAAGAAAGGAAACCCAGATTAAAGAATTGGAAACCAAATAAATTCTCATCCAAGTATAGGACTGGAAAAAGCAAAATGAAAAAGAGGAAATTCATGGATTTAAATTTTCTCAGTTGAGTATATTATTTTGGTTTCAAAATGAAACTACCAAATTTTATTTTGGTATTTTGAAACTACCAAAATTTATTTTGGTTTCAAAATGAAACTCTTCCTAAAGAAAATTGATATAAGTAGTGCTGATTTTTCTTTCTCAGACTTTGCAACTTCCATCTTTTCAAACACACCTGTCAGAATGATCCCTTTAAAATGAAAATATTTGCAGTCCATTTGCTGGAAGTTCATAGAGAGCAGACAAGTTTTTAATTATTCATTTGAGAAAAAAGTGCCACAAATGTGAATTATTATTTATTTTAATTATTAATTGGACAAAAAAGTGATATAAATGTGAATTCTTATTTATTTTAATGATTCATTTGAGAAAAAAGTTACACGAATACAAATGAAATTGGCTCCAGTAGTATTGTATTAATATATTTACATATACATAGATTCATTTTATATCTTAAGGCTCTTCTCCCCATTAACTTTTGTCAACAAGCAGAAGAGGAAAGTATCAGTGATTTGCTAAATCATGCTTCTTTTCCAGAAGACTACAATAAATGGCTAGGCATGGAGGAAAGTATATTTCAAGATTTTTCAGTCCAACAACCCACTAAACAACCCAATAGGTTTTACTAATATAATACAATAAGAATGGGTCACTTATTAAGAAAATAATTGATACTAAAGGCCATTGGTGAACATAGATCTCTCATTCCAATAAGGAGCCTTTTCATTGTGCACATGATAACTATGCACCACTTAATCTAAGGTATTATCATATCTCATCTGGATTAGCACAATAGCCTCTTTACTGCTCTCCCTACTCTACAATGACTCTGCTCTGTCTTTTCTCTCAATATCATCTCCAAAGTAGGGTATAAGTACCCAAATAGCACTACAAGGTGATTCCGTTTTCTGCAAGAAGAAAATAATAGAACTTGGTGATATATTTAGTTTTAATCAAAAGGTTAAAATTTAGCCTTGCTAATATATAATGACTGATTAATATATGTCATATATAGTTTCATATATAATATATAGTATGAATATAAATAAAATACACCTGTATGTGTTTGTGTGCATATGTGTGTGTATATAAAGAGAGGCATACAGAGAGACAGTGAGATAGAGAAAGAAAAAGAAAGAGATTAACATTTTGGAGCTGTATACTGATTGGTGTGCATAATCAAAAAAGTTTGGACACTTTGCTCTACAAAGCAGCAAAAGTAGCCTTTCAAAAGTATAAAAAGCATAACTTCTTGTCACTGCTTAATACCCTTTGTCAACTTAACCATTGCAATATTCGAACTCCTAACCATCGGCTGTCAGGTGCCCATTCCTCAATCACACTTGTTGACACTCTCTCCCCTCACCCATATGCTCCAGCTAGTCTGGGCTATTCCCTCCTCCACTGTGCCTATCTTTTTCCAACTCATGACCTTAGCACCTGCTATTCCACCTGCCTGGAATGCGCCCTTCCCCACCACACACACACACACACACACACACACACACACACACACACACATCTCATGGCTGACTCCTCTTCTTGAGATCTTCACTTTAAATGCACATCTTTAGAGAGACTTTCCCTGACCCCCTACCTAAAAAAGAAATCTCTTTCACATTTTCTGTATCAGTCTCTCATCAGTTCCTTCTTAGTATATATTACAGCCTTCAATTATTTTACATAAACCTGTTTTATGTTAACAACTTTCCAAAAATCTACATGTGGATAAAGACCATATCTTCCTTATTAATCTCCTCTTCCTCCAACATCTCACTCAGTGCCTAGCTCAATAAGTGCTTAATAAATAATGGCTGACTGGCCAAATGACACCTGAGTAGCAAACCTACCTGCACAACTGGTAGCTAACACTTCGTAAAATGAAATGTGTACTCTGTCCCACAATCTATACTAAGGAGTTTAAATGTGCCAGCTCATGTGGTTTTGTTTTGAGGGTTTTATTTATTTATTTTTTTTTACCATAGTTTGTCTCAGCTAAGTACTACTAACATTTTCCCCCCTTTACAGATGACATTAAACAACTTACATCCAGATTACACAGCAGTTTAGTGGCAAGTCTTCTGCATAGGCATCCTTATTCCTAGTATGTACTTGACTTTATCCAATACTGTTTCTACTCCACATCCAACTAATAACAGATAACACTTATTGATGATTTGCTATGTGCCAGTCAATCTATTAATAATGAGCACTTTGAATCATTTTTAGTGACATTGAGCAAGCAATTTTGGAAACAAGTTAGCGATTTTTTTTTCGTTTTTATTTGGTGGGGGAGGAGTGAGGTTAAGAGGTGCATATTCACTCCTCACATAATCTTACTGCATTAGCTATAGGTGAACTGTCACATTGATTTTACTTCTTTCCCTTTTCCATAGGTCTCTCCATTTCTGATGGATACTTTGGCTTCAGTTTGCACTAAAGCACATTAAATGCTTCATCATTAGAACAATGTCTCTCAAAATACTTGGCTCCCCTTGGGTACCATTGAGACAAAGTGTCTTGCATTGCAGATCGATTTCATGAAGAACCACAGAAAGAAAAATGAGGAGAATAATATGTAGGCTCTTCTCATTGCCTGCCAAGGGGATGGTGGGGTGCTTTAAAACTGCCCTTTGAAATACTTTCAGGTACCAAGAAATACTGGTATCTAGGTCTGAATTCGGTAATTGTATCCCTTGTCATACACACAATCTAAGTGGCTCTAACAGAAGAACCTAAGCCCTCATATCTATAAAAATGGGGCTCAGATTATGTTCCTGACTCATAAGGATGTCATGAAAGTTAATTCAATTTGGATGCCTCTTGGAGATAACAAAACTGTTCTGTATTTATGTAACTTCTATCTTATCAGACCTCTAAACAGTTTTTGTTTTGTTTTATCCCCTAGTTTAATAAATCTTGCAGGAGCTCCGAAAGATAGGTAGGGGGCAGTTTTTGCCTGCATCTTACAGAATAAAAAGAAATTTATCTAAGGTCATAGAGTTAGATACAAAACTTAGAACAGAATTTTGTTATGCTCTCCCTCCCTTTTTAGTATAATTCTGTTTTCAATTTGTATACACATGAATTAAAATTCCACATTATTATTGTTTAGCTATTATACATTGCTTACACAATCATTTAAATTTTCAAAGGATGGTTTTTATAATTAAATATGAAGAGAATTAGGAAATAATATCACTGTTATTGTATGAAATCATATATGCATATATATTTCCCATTTAAATATGCATACTTAATGTGAAATAGATTAAAAATGCACTATGACTAAGTAAGTTTATTTAAAGATTGTATTATTAGACATTTAAAAATATACCTTTACGAAAAAGTCTTAGAATGCATTAATATAACTTCATTATAGTCTTAAAATAATATAAAAACTGTAACATGTAGCTTCTATCATCTCTCTCTCTCCTGTCTTCCTCTAGACTGCAAGTCCAGCATAAAAAGGCTTTGATGCAGTAAATCATAAAACCAACTTCATGATACATTTTCTAGTCTAACTTCCCTAAAAGTACAAATAGGAAAAATAAAATATCTAAAGCTGGAGCTTCATTTCACTTTTGTTTCTTTGGGACTACTGAGTGGAGGAGAGGAAACAAAAGAAACAAAAAGCTACCCCAAAATTCTTTAAGGGCCACTGATAGGACAACTAAAAGCTTCTATATAACATAAAGAACTCTTTGGTTATTTTTGTCTCTTGTACAAAGAACTGGTCCCAAGATAAATGAGGTTAATACTAAAGCCAAATTCAGTAGATTTCTGGGGCATAATATTCCAGCAGAATACAACTCTATAAAATGCACAGTAGCTACTGAAAAACAAGAACTTTGGGACTTCTCAATCCGAGCACAACATATCTTGCAAAGAAAAGGAGGAAACAAATCAAAGAATAAGTAACACAGTTGGACAGACATTAACTACTTTATACAACTTCCCATTTCTCTTTTTGATCTGGACAAAGAGCAGATTTACTTCAGGCTTCTGCTCCAGGTATCCCTAACAGCACGTTCATCTCTGGTAGCAGCACAAAGATGCCCTGAAAAGGAAAGGAAGAGAGGTGATCAAAGGCACAGAGTTTATTGTGTCTATCTGCCTCTGGTCCTTGGAGGCAGTAGAGTGTGGGGCTTAAATCCTAAATTGTAAAGTCAAAAATCCTACTTTTAAATCCTGCGTATACCACCCACTAGCTGTTCATTACCCTTTGGCTTTCAGAATCTCTGTTGCCTAGTCTATAAAATGGAAGTTATACCAACTTCCTCATGTAGGCTGCTTTATACTACATGTTAGCTGTTGCTAAAGTACTTTCATACTTCAAATGCCAACTTCAGTTGATGCTGTTCCTCAACATACTTCTGTAGATGAAAGACAAGAGGTTAAAATCCATTCAATTTTTTAAAAATCCATTCCATTTTTTAAAAATCCATTTGTTTCCAGCTAGAAAGAAAACAA